TGTTTTCCTCTCCAGCTAATCTAGCTCATTTTTATGGGGGGTTGGAGGGCAGTTGGGGGGGTCTGGCGGCATACACCCACACTGAATTATTACTGGCAGTGGCCATTCACGATACCTGGGACGTATGCTGTAACCATTTCAATGCGTGCGAGTAGGTATTTCCTTTCCAGCTTTAATCTAGCCTCAATTTTGGGTATGGTTTTGTGTAGCTCTGGCGCTGCCGCACACACTAAAAAATTTCGTGGCAGTGTCATTCCTGCGACACCTAGGGACTATGTGCCGAACATTTTCCAATAGGTTTCATGCGGGTTTACTTTCACTCATCTAGCTCAAATTTTGGACGGTGTGCCTTTCAAATGACCCCACTGACCACACCCACCAGCGGCTGCCTGCCAGACTTACATTTCCTTACATGGGTATGTACACGAATCATTGCTATATGCATGAAAATTGGTTTCCTTTCCAGCTAGGCTGACCCCCCTGGGCTCCCGGTCTAATTGTCGGCCGCTGTTCATTTCAAATCATTGTATGCAAACTCTTCCGGGTTCCTTTGGATTGGAATTTACATCACGTTGAGGTTCAATGTACAGGCCGACGTATAGTTTCTATTTTTTATTAAATTAACAAGATAAATGCGTGCGGTAACGCGATGAAGATCGGAGCAGCATTGCTAAGTTAAAATGCCTCTAACTATACAGTAATGTAAACACACGTACACGGTACTATCCCGTAAATTTACATAGGCAGTCAAAATCACGATCACTAGTTCTATCGGAAGGCAATTGGACTAGGAGAAAATTTGACGTTAACCAGTGATGAACGGTGTTTGATGTAGCTCTAGAACTATAGCCCTTCGCTCTGCCAAGGCTCCTGTGGCAGAGCGATGGGCTATAGTTCTAGAGCTATGTTCAGCGGCGTAGTTAGGCTGAAGGGGTCGTTGTCGTATCAGGTACTACTACAGATATGTACCCGAGCCTCCCGAGGTACATATATGTATACACAAAGTGTACCAGACTTGTACTACAGAAGTGTACCCTAATCCTAACCCTAACCCTAACCCTAGCCCTAACCCTAATCCTAACCCTAATCCTAACCCTAACCCTAAAAATACCTCATATAAAAATATAAACATATATGTTTATATTTTTATATGAGGTATGTTTAGGGCTAGGGTTAGCTAAAACTACCTCGGGTACATATCTGTAGTAACTGATACGACAACGACCCCATCTGCCGTAGTTAGGGGGGCAAAGGGGGCCATGGCACCCCTGTTGATCCGAAAGTAAAAATAAAATAAAAAAATTAGAATTGTTCTACTAAAAAGAGAATTGTCCTAGTCAGAATGAAGGGTGTACATGTACTCAAATGTGCCTCAAATACCATCTCCTGCGATCAACATTTTCAAATTTTTGAAACAACAACGAAAGCAAGCAACGAACAAAAATGTCGCCTTTATGCATGGCGCCTGAAACAAACATTGCAGAGCGGAAATGTGGGGGAACGTAGGGTGTGGAGAAGGAGGCGAAGGAATCATTAAAATATTAGGTCATCCACCATTTTGCGCATGTTTTTGCCCCCCTGTTAAAAAATTCTGGCTACGCCACTGTGTGTGTGTGTGTGTGTGTGTGTGTGTGTGTGTGTGTGTGTGTGTGTGTGTGTGTGTGTGTGTGTGCGTATGTGTGCGTGTGCGTGTGTGTGTGTATGTATAATGTCTGTGTATGTTGTGTGCGCGCGCGTGTGTGTGTGTGCGTGCGTGCGTGTGTGTGTGTGCGTGCGTGTGTGGGTGCGTGTGCGCGCGTGTGTGGGTGCGTGTGTGTGTGTGTGCGTGCGTGCGTGTGTGTGTGTGCGTGTGTGGGTGCGTGTGCGCGCGTGTGTGTATACGCGCCCGACGTCCACATCCTATTGCGGGCGATTGTCCAAACACGATCGAACAAACAAGCTAGCGGTCGGAGGGGCGGAGCGGCGCCTAAAACGGTGTTAGTCCCCTCCGCCCAACCCACCGCCAACTCACGCAAGCAAACAGCAAACACGGAGCGCGAATTCTAGCATTGTTGATATTTGCCAGACCCGCGAGAGCGTGTGCGTGTGTATAACGCTGGGAATAGACGCGTTTCCGAGTCCCGCGATTGTGTTTTTGAAGGGCGAAAGTGCAGTCAACTTTACGCTCCTCGCTTACGATCAAACCGCCAGTGATCGCCGCAGAAATCAGACCTAGCTCTCTCTCTCCCTTCCCCTCTCTCTCTCTCGCTCTCTCTCTGCCTCTTCCTCTCGCCACCTTCTCATTTAACCTGCAAGCAGCAGTAACCGCGATGCCGTCCCCGCACGACGCGAGACGAAGGCTAGCGACGTGTCTCTTGCTGCTGCTGGCGACGTGTCTGACGACGCTGCTGCTGCCACCTGGCGTCGGCGCACAGGACGTCTTCGTGCGAGCGACGACGGGCACGTACCGTGGCGACGTCGTCACGCCGTACGGCGGCGACCGCGTGCATCGCTTCCTCGGTATACGGTACGCGAAGTCTCCCGCCGACGAAGAACGGTTCAAGGTAAGAGCCGACGACACTGCTGTCGACGACGACACTGCTGTCAACGACGACACTGCTGCCGACGACAACACTGCTGTCAACGACGACACTGCTGCCGACGACGACACTGCTGCCGACGACGATACTGCTGCCGACGACGACACTGCTACCGACGACAACACTGCTGTCGACGACGACATCGATTACGGCAACGACGACAATGCTGCCGACGACGACATTGATTACAGCGACGACGGCTGCGCGACGAGAGTTAGCGTGAGGGTGAGGGTTAAGTTAGCAGTAGGAGTAGGATTAGGGTAAAGATAGCGGATGGGTTCGGGGTGATGATTTGAGGGGGTAGGGTTGGTCTTAGGAGTTAGCGTGAGGGCGAGAGGTTAAGTTATAGTATCATTAAGCGTTAGTTAGTAAGATTAGCGTTAGAGTGAGGATAGGGAGATAGATTAGGGTTAATATCAGGGTTAGGGTAAGGGTTAGGGTTAGAATTAGAGGGCAGGGTTAGTCTTATGGGTAAGGTTAGCTATAATAATAGTGGATGGGTTAGGGTTAATCACGGAGTGGGACTTAGCGTTAGAATTAACGTTAGGGATAGGATTAGGGTTAGGGTTAGGGTTAACGTTAGCGTTAATGTTAGGATTAGCGTTTAGGTTAGGCGTAGGATTAGGTTTAGCGATAGGTTTAGGGTTAGCGTTAACGTTACATTAAGTGGTAAGTGTTCAGTGACGTCATGTTGCTCCGTGACAGGTTGCTGAGCCCGTCGACACAGGTTCGTCGGAGAACATCGACGCGACCTCTCGCGGCAGTAGTTGCTGGCAGACGAACAATGACAGAGTGTTTGACAGCGGACTGAGTTCTTCCAGCTTCAGTGAGGATTGTCTCTTCCTGAACATATGGGCTCCACGGGTATGTGATGTGTGTGTTAGTGTGTGTGCCAGTGTGGTTGGTGTCAGCCTGTGCCGTCGCTGGGACCGTCCGGCGTGAACGTGTGTGTGTGTGTGTGTGCGTGGCGTGTGTTGCGCGCGCGTGTTTGCGTCGCCGGGCGCGTCGTCCTGTAGTGTCGCCGTGGGCGGGTGCGTGTGAAACTGAGACGGTGATGAACCGTGTACGGGGTTGTGCGTTGTGCGTGGGTGTGTGTGATGCACCTCTGGTGTCCTGCCGTGTGTGTGTGGTGTGTGTGTGTGTGTGTGTCGTGTGTCACGCTGGGTGTGTGTGTGTAGTGCGTGTGCGTGTATGCGCGCAGTTTCATGAACACCTCCGGTGCATGTGTGCTTGTAGTGGCCGTGCTGCGTGTACGTGGCCGTGAGTGTGCGTGTGTCATGTGAGCGTGTATATCCACGAACAGTCGTAGCAGCGTGAACGCTTGTTGTTATGACGACAGGAGAGCAATAACGTGCAGCCGACAATCGTCTGGATACACGACGGTGCCTTCAGCCGCGGTCCGCTGCACAGTGGCTCCATCTATGAAGAAATCTACCAGGCCGCCGAGATGGCCGCCTTCAACCAGGTCGTCGTCGTCACCGTCGCCTACCGGCTAGGAGTACTTGGTATGCGCCAGTCTAAACTTGGTAATGCGTGTCATCTATACGACTCGTTAGGCATCTTAAGTGTTGTCTAGGATCGGTGTTCGATTGGTATTAATCAATCAATATACACTATATATATATATATATATCAGGAGCGTATAATGACAAATATGTATATGTATATATGTATATGGGTATAATGCTCATTTAATAACGCTCCTGATATATATATACTATATATAGTATATATAGACTGTGTGTGTTGGTGTGTGTGCTGTGCGTGTGCGTGAAGTCGCCGTGCGTGCATCGTGGTGTGTGGTGTGTGTGTGTGCCATGTGGCCGTTGTGGTGTGTCGTGTGTGCTGTAGCTGTCCCTCCGTGCCGCCCTCTGCGTGAATGCACTGTGTGTGTCAATGATGCTTGCGCTGTGTGTATGTGTGTGTGCATGTGTGTGTGTGCGTGTTGTGTGTGTGTGTCCGCTGCCGCGCGCGCGCGCGCTTGTCGCTGTGTGTTGTGCTGTGTGCTGTGCTGTGTGTGCTGTGTGTGCTGTGTGCTGTGTGTGTGCTGTTGTGTCAACCGCTTGTGTTTGTGGTACGTTATATGTGTGTGGCATGCGTTGTGCGTGTGTTTGTTAATGCAATGCCATAATTTGTGTTGTGCTGCGGCCGCGTCCCGTGTGGCTGTCGGCTGCAGTGCGCGCGCGCGCGTGTGTGTTGTGGCCCCTGTCTGCGCTGTGTGCTGTGTGTGTGTGTGTTGTGTGCTGTGTTGTATGGTGTGTGCCCCATGCGTGTGCGCTGGGCGTCGTGGGGCTGTGTGTGTGACTGTGCTGCCGGCTTTCCTGTGGTGTGTGTGTGTGTGTGTGTGTGTGTGTGTGTGTGTGTGTGTGTGTGCGCGCGCGTGCGTGTGCGTGTGTGACTCAATCCGTGCGAATTAGGCAATACGTAAGAGTCGATGACGTCTGCTCTTGATGACGTCATATAGGAGTGGTAGACCGTTGTTCCGTGCGGCGATCACCGTACGTATAACGTGTAACGTGTAACGTGGAATGTGGAACACCCACTAAATGTACTTTACTGTGCAAATTTGCAGTGTTAATACGGAGTCAGAGTCAATCGTAGGGGGGCTAATAGCGTAGGAGGGGAAAGGGAGAGGGAAGGGCTTGCAGGCGAGGCGGTTTTTCAGGGAAACGGAATCGAACGCTGGTCTGAGAGAAGAGTAGCGGGTGAACGAATGGCAGACCGGAGAGGTGGATTGAAACGAAGGGAACATCGATATATTATGTTATCATTAAAAATTCTAACATTGATTTACGAAAACGTCTTTTGGCGTGTGGTTTGGGCTTTGTTTACGTGCGGGAGATATCTAAAATTCTTACGGGCATCTAAACTCGAAATGGTCCCTTGTTTACGCGATGAGAGTTCTTACGGGGGCATAAATTTATACGCACATCTAAACTAGTAATAGTCCTATGTTTACACGGGGAAAGACCAAAGGTCGAGATGATTTTATTTCTCGCAGGTTTTCTCAGCACGGGCGACGATGCGGCGACAGGCAACTGGGGCCTCCGAGACCAGTTGGAGGCGCTCTCTTGGATTCGTGCCAACATCCGGGCATTCGGCGGCGACCCGAGTAACGTCGTGCTTGTTGGCGGAACGTCCGTATCGCTCCACATGATGTCGCCACTATCGCGCGGTGAGAGATGGAGAATGAGATTAGGAGAAAAATCGAGAGAGAGATAGAGAGATCGAAAGAGAAGATCGAAGATCGAGAGATCGAGAGAATCGAGAGATCAAATCGAATAGAGACATAGAGAGATCGAACAGAGAGAGATAGAGAGATAGAGAGAGAGCCAGAAAGAGAGATCGAGAGAATCGAGAGAGAGAGAAAGAAAGAGCGCGAGAGAGAGTGAGCGCGCGCGAGAGAGAGAGAGCGAAAGAGAGAGAGAGAGAGAAAGAGAGATAGATAGATAGATAGAGAGAGAGAGAGAGAGAGAGAGAGAGAGAGAGAGAGAGAGAGAGAGAGGATCAGAAAATCTCCACTCTACTACTCAGCTATCGTTCATATCAGGAGTGAATGAAAACACATTATTCACTCCTGTTTTTTTATTCACTCCTGATAATATATATAATCATCGAGTTCTTATCAATAATTTGCTCCTCTGTTTCTGATTCTTTTTTACTTGTTTCTCTCTAATCTCTCTCTCTCTCTCTCTTTATCTATCTATCTTATATATATATATATTCTCTCTCTCTCT